GTTGTTATTCAGTTGCTCAGTCATGTCTGACTCTTTGCCACCCCATGGACTGCAGCATTCCAGGCTTTTCTGTCCTTCACTATCTCCCGGAGCTTGGTCAAACTCATGCCCATTGAGTTGGTGATGCCATCCAATCATTTCTTCCTCTGTTGCCCCCTTCTCTTCTTGCCCTCAATCTTTCCCAGCATCAGGGTTTTTCCCAGTGAGTTGGCTCTTTGCATCAGGTGGCCAAAGTATTGGAGTTTCAGCTTCAGCATCAGTCCTTCCAGTGAATATTCAGGGTTGATTTCCTTTAGGACTGACTGGTTTGATCTTGCAGTCCAAGGGACTCTCAAGGGTTTTCTCCAGCACCACAGTTCGAAAGCATCAGTTCTTTGGTTTTCAGCCTGCTTTATGGTCCAACTCTCACATCCGTACATGACTAATGGAAAAACCATAGCTTTGACTATATGGGCCTTTGTCATATGACCCTAGAAAATGTTCGAATGAATAGGTGACTTCAAAGAATTAAAAGAAAAAACAAAGAAAAAACAGTGAACTTCTGAAAGAGCTCATACATTTTTCTTTGGCTGTCGTTGATATTGGGATAGAGAGTCATACATGCAGAGTTATTTGGGGTACTGCTGAAAAGCAGGAGAGAAGATTTGAGCAGAGAAATGTTAGTGAGATCAGCCTTTTCTTCTCAAGATCTAATTTAAAGCTATATGAAATTATTACACTTACCTTGGGAGAAACTCAGCCCACCTCAAAATATTATTAAACCATATTTTAACTGTGGTCATGATTATTCTTCTTTTCGTTTATTAAGTGCCTACTTTGTGCAGAAACACAGTCTTTCTAACACAAGTTTTCCCTCTTTTTTTTTATTTATTAAGGTATAGCTTACACATAATAAACTTTACCAATTTCAAGTGCCCAGTTTGATGACTTTTGGCATTTGTGTGCCGCCTATAATCACCATTGTGGTCAAGATACAGAACGGTTATTTCATCCTACACAGTCTCCTCTGCCTTCTTTGTTTCCATCCCCTCCTCCCACCTCCAATCTTAGGGAACCATTGATCTACTTAGGGTCTAACAGTCAATTAAAATAACATTAATCAGGAATTCCCTGGAGGCCCAGTGGTTAGGACACTGCCCTTCCACTGCAGGGGTCCCCAAGTTCAATCCCTAGTCAGGGAACTGAGATCCCACAAGTTTCAAGGCATGGTCAAAAAAAAAAAAAAAAAAAACCACCCAAAATACAGTAATTGTAAGAGTCAAGAATTTTTTAATATTTTTACCAAAGAGGAGAAATGAGAAAGAAATTGGTAACCTAGCCAGCCAGGCTGCAGCCCTGAGACAAATTGCAGCTTCACTGGACAATGAGTTAGCCCCCACTGGAGGCCCAGGGTTGGGGGCCACGAAGACTGGGTATCAAAAATTTTTTTTTAACAAATAACGTGGTGAAACCTTTTCTTGTGATTACAGAAAAAGAAGGCAAGGGTTTACATATTCAGTTCAGATATACATCTGCCCCCTGGGTTTCTGTTCATGCATCTGGACCCATTTTTGTAAATATTTCTTTTTAAAAATTTTATTTATTTGGCTCTACCAGAACTTCACTGTAGCTTGTGGGATCTAGTTCCCCAACCAGGGGTTGAACCCAGACCCCTTGCGTTGGGAGCATGGAGCCCTAGCCACTGGACCACCAGGCAAGTCCCTGGATTCATTTTTAATCTAGTATCTTAAAGAACCCCTGGGCCTTCTCCTTTCTCTCAGAAGATTCTCAAAGGCCATGCTGCTTGAAGATGAAGCAGTAAGTAAAGAAACTTCTGCCTCAGAGGATGTTGTATTTTTCTGAAACTAGTAATTATACAGCTCAGAGTCCCTGATTTATAAGGAACTAAAGAGTCCCACTAAGATTTATAGCCCAAACTGAAACACAGAAATGGTGATAAGTCTATGAGAAACTAAATGGTGCAAAGACAAGAATGTGGAGATTTTATATGGTGCTGTCAGGCGGGTCATCAATTCTGCGTCCATGAGGGCACCCAACAGGCACCGTTTGGGTCCTAAGGCTATCACTGAGGAAGACAGGTAAACTCCTGCTGCCTTCTGTGGGCAGCAGCTTGCATTCTGGTCTCGGGAGGTGGGAATGAGTAACATGGGTCCTCTCAGAGGATGAACAAAAAGCAGGGGCAGGACTACTGGGTTAGGGGTGGGGCGAACACTTTGGGTAACTGGTCAGGGAGGACAGCTCTGAGGAGGTGATCTTTGAGCTGAGACCCCAAAAAACAAAAAGGAACCAGCTTTTGCTAGAGAAAGAGCATTATAAAAATCAGGACCAGCACATGCAAAGGCCCTGAGGTAGCAAAGAGGCTTGATGAGTTCAGGAAAAAGGGCAAAGGTAGCCCATGCTCAGTGACCAAAGTGGAGAGGGATACAAGCTGAGGGTAGAGAGATAAGAAGTCCTGCTCCAAAACAGGCAAAACCTGAGCCCTCTTGGAAACCAAGTAACGAAGCCAGCTGTGCCTGTGCCCCTAGGCTTTGAGATGTGTCACCGCTGGGAGGTAGTTGGGAATGCTTACATTGGCAAAATCGCTCTCTTATATCCTTGGATACTGATCATAGATGAGCTGCCTGGGAAGGTAGAGCTAGTCTAGCCCAACCTCCTCATTTTACAAAGGAAGGAACAGAGGCCCAGAGGGTAAAGTTCTTCCCTCATAACCTGGAGGAAATATTTGCAGTTCATTATTGTGACCGAAAGGAGTGGGGGTGGGGTGGGGAGTCCGGCTGCTTGCTGCTCAAAAGCCAATAAACAGGCCAGGCTGGTGGAAAGGAAAGTTTGTTTTATTTCAGGTGGCGGCAACTGTAGGGGGTGGGCGGCAGACATCTGTGCAAAGGCCAACTTCTCCCACCACTGACAGGCGGTGGGGTGAGAGCATTTATAGACAGAGTCGGGGGTGGGGGGCTTCATGCAGGAACAGCACAGTCATCTCTAATAGTCAGCTTCAAACTGGTCATCAGTGGTCTGACCAGCATCATCTTGGTTGTTTTAGGTACAGTTAATCTTCAGTTGCGGGTTGCACTTGTTCCCATTTCTTCGTGGTCAGTTCTCAGAACTGTGGCAGCTCAAGCCCTGGGTGTAGTCTTCTCATCATGTAGTTAACTTCTCCACCTGGGGTTTTGGCATCTATAAGACAGCTCACAGGATACACTCAATATTATCCACAGCCCCTGGGAAAGAACTAAAGGTCCTTGCCTGTGCTTAACGACTACATTATTATTTAGTCATCTTTGACTGTTTCCCTTTGTTTCCACATTTTTCACTTCTCTGATTAAACTTGTTCTTTGACTGAAGTCTGACTAAAGGCAAAAGGCAGGCAGAGGATATGGTGGGGGGGTGTGGCACAAGGACCATGTGGTCCTGCTCTGTTTCATTATCTCAGGTTGAGAGATCAATTTCCACCCCCGTATAAAGAGCGGCTGGCAGGTGGGGCTGGCATAGAGTGAATGAGGGGGAGGGGGTTCAGGGGAGGCTGACAAAAATCCAGATGTTTGATGGCACATAGCAACTGGGAGGTGGGAACACGGGCACATGTGTGCCTTGAGTGGGAGAAGTGAGTACAGCTCTTGAGCAGGCTTGCAGTTCTGGGAAAATGAAGTCACGTGGCTGGTCAAAAACTGGAAAGAACTCAGTTGTCACTGAATGGGTGCCCAGCTGAATAGATTGCAGTCTCTCCAGACAGTGGAATACTATGCAGCAATGAAAAGGAACAAACCTTAGATCCATGCAGTAACGTGGGTGACCCTCAGACATGCTGAGCAAAAGCAGCCAGCTGCTGTTTTGCAGGAAGGTCTAAGTCAGGGAAAACGAATTGATAGTTTTCTGGGGCCAGGAGTGGAGGTCGGTGGCTAAGTGCGCCGAGGGAGCTTTTGTGGATGATGAACATTTTTATATCTTGATCGTGGTGGTATACACATGTATACACATGTGTCAAAAGTCTTTTAGGTCCTTCTTAATGTCTGTAAATTATATCTCAATAAATTTGATTCTAAAAATTTTTTAAAGGAAAGGGGAAAGGAAAGCTTTTGGTTAAACTGTTCACTGGCTAAACGGTTATGGAGCACCTCTGTGAACAAGGTGGGAGCACCTCTGTGAACAAGGTGCCATAATAGGTGCCAAGCGGCTGTTTGTGCCAAACATGGTGGGGCAGAGGACTGACGAGCCCCATGGTTCCCTCCTCCAGAAGACTGTCCTCCCATTCTCTGTACCCAGCCCGTCAGCCACCCAGAGACCACAATCAGCACCGAAGTCCAGGAAGGAACAGGGATCACTAAGGAGAAAAACAGCTCTTCCTTTTGGCCTGGGAGGACCTAAAAATCCCTCAAGCAGAGGGAATGGGAAGGAGATGGGACTGGTTCATCCTGACCCAGATGCACCCACCTCTCTGTTTAGTAACCAACCCCCATCTGTCTTGCTTGCTACAGTTTGCTCACATAATTTTGCTGAGCGCCAGCCTGAGGTCTGAGCAGTGTTTGGTTCTGACTTGCCAAGTTCATCGATCAATATGTTTATATCTAATTTGTGCAAGTTTACCCAGCCTCCACTACTGCATATATGTGTGCACAGGGCATATGAGGCATCCTGGGTAGTGGACAGCAGCTTTTTACACATAAACATGTGCCTCTACAGAAAGACAGTTTCTATGTGTGGACTTTACCTACAGTCATACTGTGAAGAGATACGACAGTTTCTATTTAATATTGCACAGATAGGGGTATCTAAACACATACTGCTCTGGACATCTAGAACATTGTATAATGCTTTTAATCTTTCGAGAAATGAATAAGCCATATCAGAGATGCACATCAGGGCCTAGCCCACAGTGGCAAGGTTCTTGTCCACAGGTAAGGATGATACTGTCATTTGGCATCACCCCGCTTCTCAAACCTGGAGGAAGGAATAAAAGGGTTCAGGAGACCATCCTCCTGGACCAGCTGAGGGGATGGCAGCAGGTAGGCAGCCCTAATTCATCCTCTTCACTCTATTGTTTTTCTTCCTTCTTTCCTTCTGAAGCTTATGAGATTGATCTGCCACGTGGAAGCGGCATCACAGTCCTCCTGAAGCCTGGGACCCAGACTCTGCCAGTGAAACTTTGTTACATCATTTCTAAAAGATGGGAGACCACCCTGTCCATCAAAGCTGGAGAGAAAAAGGTCTTTTCCTTTAGCTGCCAGGATCCACATAATTACTTCGTTATTGAGATCCAGAAGAATATCGGTAAGTACTCACTCGTGGACTCTTTGGCTTCCGTCTCTTCTTTCCAAGCTAGCCCAGCCTCTACTGCTAGAGAGGTGAGACCTGTTCTGAAATTGTGCACTCTCTTTAGCTTTTATGTGGCCAGTCACAGTCCTAAGCGTTTTGCGTGGTTTCAGGTTTGGTTTTTTTTTTTCCTTTTAATCCTCAAAGCAGCCCTAAGAGAAGTTCTCAGAGGAAGTCACTTGCCTAAGATGGCACAGCTGGTGTGTCTCAGCAAGACAGGAACCCCAAGCATTCTGGAATTCTGGATCCAGAGTGTCTGCCTGTGGCCACTGTGCCACACTGTCTCATGGCAGAGCTGTGGATCCTCAGGTGATGCTCTGTCTGATGTGCTAAAAACATCTGGCTGAGCAGGAGCGGAAGTCCAGGGAGCTGGAGGACAGAAGAATTGGAAGATTGAGGAGATAAGAGTGGGGCGGTGGATCCACTAGTTACAGTGGGGGAAAAAACCCGCAGCTTGCAGGCTGAGGGACCTGGTTTGACTTCAAGTACCAGGGCGACTGATCATGTGCCTTGATTGCATGGCTTCATATAAGTTACTTACCTGCTTTGCGATTTAGTTTTCTAGTCTGTAAAACAAGAGTCATTGTACCAACCAATAGGGATGTTTTCGGGATGAAATGAAATCATGGATTGAGGTGTATGACATACTGGCATTCAATAAACTACAGATACTTGGCATTATTAATGATAACTTGAGTTTGGGATAGGAGATTGGCGTAAGAAATACTAATCAGGCAGAAAGAATTAAAGGTATATACACTTTCCCAGTTATTTTAAGGTGGTATGCCAATGAGGAACTAATAGATATATTAACAACAATGAGAACGCTATTTGGACGTAATCAAAGTCATACTGAGAAAATTTCTTCACCTTTAACTGAAAATAGATGAATTGGAATAGATCATGAAGGAAGAGGAAGAATAAAATAAACCTTGAGAAGAAAGAATTCATAAAAATAAAAAGAGAAAGTACTTAAAAGCAGTTTTTAAAAACTATGTTTATGGACTTCCCTGGTGGTCCAGTGGTTAAGAATCCGCCTGCCAATGCAGGGGCCATGGGTTCAATCTCGTTCAACTGAGCCCATGCGTCACAACTACTGAGGCTGTGCTCCACAACAGAAGACACTGCAGTGAGAAGCTTATGTGCTGCAACTAGAGGGTAGCCCCCACTCAACACAACTAAAGAAAGTCCACACACAGCAATGAAGACCCAGTTCAGCCAAAAAAAAAGTGTTTATAACTAAAGCCAAAACCTGGTTCTTTGTAAAGTCCCATTAAATAGACAAATCTCTGACTAGTCTCCAGGAAAGAAGAAAGAGAAATTGCAAATATTTAACAATGAATGTATACATGTGGATTTAATGACATATAGAAAGCAGATTGCTGAAACTATAATAGAGACTGATAATAATTGTGAAAATTTGAATGACAAAATCATATCCAGAGAAAATTTTCTGGGCCACATTGACTCAAAGAAAGGGAGGAAACGTGAATACGTATATAATCAAGGAGGAGACTGGAAAAAGTGTCCAATGTGAAGGAGAAAGGGTTTGGGTTTGTCAGAGATGATTTCACAGAAGTGTCCTATAAAACTCCATGTAGCAGATAATTTCTGTGATATTTAAACAATTCCAGAGGAAGGTTGACAAACCTTTTTTGTAAAAGGCCAGAGAGTAAATATCTTAGATGTTATATGCCAGATGGTGTCTGTCGCAACTCCTCCACTCTGCTATGACAGCACAAAACCAACCATAGACAATAGATAAACAAATGGGCAATGAACATCCTGTGTTTATTTTCAAGAACAGATGTTTGGCTGGATTGGGCCTATGACCTGTGGTTTGTCAAACCCCTATCTAGAACATTGAAAGAGGTGAAGTTTCACAGTTCATTTTCTAAGGTCTTAAAACCCTGATGTCAAACTCTTCCACTGCATAAAAAGAAAATAGACTAATCTCTTATGAATATGCTTTGCCACCAAAATCCTAAGTAAAATAAAAGTATATCAAATCCAAAAATTGCATAGAAAGACCAAAGCAACAAGAGCAGGAGGACTTGTTGGAAAACAGGATTGTTCTAACCATTAGCCAATCAACTCAATGTACTGCAGCCTGTGAGTATGTGAAAGGGAAGAATTGCACTTGATTTTTTTTTTTTTTCTCAATTGTGTTTGTTTATTTTTGGCTGTGCTGGGTCTTCGTTGCTGAGCATGGATTATCTCATTTCAGAGCGTGGGGGTCACTCTTGATTGCGGTGTTCGGGCTTCTCATTGCAGTGTCTTCTCTTGTTGTGGAGCACAGGCTGTAGGCGCATGGGCTTAGTGGTTTTGGCTCATGGGCTTAGTTGCCTTGTGGCATGTGGAATCTTCCCAGACCAGGGATTGAACCCGTGTCCCCTGCATTGGCAGATGGATTCTTAACCACTGGACCACCAGGGAGGCCCACACTTGATCATCTTAATAGATGATTTTAAATGATTTTAATAAAGTGCTCTGGCGTGCATGCTCAGTCGCTTCAGGCATGTCTGACTCTTTGCAGTGCTACGGACTATAACCCACCAGGCTCCTCTGTCCATGGGATTCTCCAGGCAAGAATACTGGAGTGGGTTGCCATGCCCTCCTCCAGGGATCTTCCCAACCCAGGGATCAAACCCGCATCTCCTGCATTGCAGGCTTCTTTACCACTGAGCCATCAGGGAAGCCCAAAACCACTCTCAGTAGCCCAGAAATAGAGGAATGTTTTCTTAATCCAATAAATTGTATCCATCAAAAACCAACAGCAGAGACTTCCCTGGCGATCCAGTAGTTAAGACCACGTGCTTCGACTGCAGAGGACATGGATTTAATCCCTGATAGGGGAAGTTCTGCTTGCTGCACAATGTGGCCAAAAAAACCCAATAACAAGTATATTTAACTGTCAGACATAGAAGCATTACCAATAAAACAAGGAACAACATAAGGATTCCCACTGTGCATGCTTTTGGTCACCAGTATTCAAAAGTTCTAGTTTAAGTATTTAGAGATAATCTTAATAAATACATAGGATGTACATGTAGCAAAATATACAATTTTGCTGAAAGACCAAAGAGAAAACGTAAGTAAATGGAGAGGTGTTCCCATGGTACCTGATGAAAATCTCAGTATTTTTTTGTGTCGTGTCTCTCCAAAATTAATTTGTGAGTTTAAATCAATTATAATTAAAATGTCAATGAAGCTTTTGCATAGGTGAGGAGACTATTGATATTAGGAATTCAAAGGAATGGTGTATTGCTATTAAAAGAATGAAGGAAATCTATGTATTAATGTTTGACATGGAAAGATACCCCTGGTCGTTTTGTTTCATGCAAAACAATGCAACTTTCAGTAGAATAGTTTATATAGTTTGTTGTTATTTAGTCACTAGGTTGTATCTGACTCTTTTTGGACCCCATGGACTGTAGACCGCCAATCTCCTCTGTCCATGGGATTTTCCAGGCTAGAATACTGGAGTGGGTTGCCGCTTCCTATTCCAGGGGATCTTCCCAAACCAGGGATTGAACCTGGGTCTCCTGCTTGACAGGCAGATTCTTTACCACTAAACTATACAAGGAAGCCCTTGTATAGTTTAATTTTACTTTATTAAATACATAGAATCATACAGAGCCTCAAGTTTGGACAGTTAAACACCAAAATGCTATCCTTATATTGTTTCTCTAGTGAGTAGGGGAGGGGAAGAGGTGACATCCATTGTCTTCTTTCTGTTCTTCTGTAATGTCATTTTTTTACAAGCAGACATTGCTTTTATAATCAGTTAAGTTAAGAAAATGACTGCCATCTTGAAAAAGGAAAAAGATACCACAGTCACATCTCACAAGACACATCTCATGAGACCCGTCTCACACACAGACCACACACAGTTTCCTGAATAATAAAAACGCATGCTTGCAATTTTTGAAAATGATACGAAAATAGCATTTTTAGAATTATAAATCTACACACTGGAATTAAGTTCAGTGTTCTGCTTACCTCTGGTTTTTAAAAACCCTTCTGAATAAACATTCTGAAAGTTTCAAATGTTAGCCCCTCTGCTGTCATCCCTTCTTTTTAAAAAAAGAAATTAAATGTTATTTTATATTAGATATAACTGATTTACAATGTCATCCCTTCTTGAATGACTCCATTAAAACTAATGAAAGTAGAAGTCTGTGCTGGGGAACTGAGGTGTGACTCACTTCAGAAATGATGCTTCTCCATCCTCTGGATAAGGAATCATTTGAGTTATTTAAACCTTTTTACTGGATGGGGAACTGAAGACTTGGAAGCTCCAAAATCACTGCAGATGGTGATTGCAGCCATGAAATTAAAAGACACCTACTCCTTGGAAGGAAAGTTATGACCAAACTAGATAGCATATTAAAAAGCAGAGACATTACTTTGTCAACAAAGGTCTGTGTAGTCAAGGCTATGGTTTTTCCAGTGGTCATGTATGGATGTGAGAGTTGGACTGTGAAGAAAGCTGAGTGCTGAAGAATTGATGCTTTTGAACTGTGGTGTTGGAGAAGACTCTTGAGAGTCCCTTGGACTGCAAGGAGATCCAACCAGTCCATCCTAAAGGAGATCAGTCCTGGATGTTCATTGGAAGGACGATGTTGAAGCTGAAACTCCAATACTTTGGCCTCCTGATGTGAAGAACTGACTCATTTGAAAAGACCCTGATGCTGGGAAAGATTGAGGGCAGGAGGAGAAGGGGACGACAGAGGATGAGATGGTTGGATGGCATCACCGACTCAATGGACATGGGTTTGGGTGGACTCCGGGAGTTGGTGATGGACAGGGAGGCCTGGTGTGCTGCAGCTCATGGGGTCACAAAAAGTCGGACACAACTGAGCCACTGAACTGAACTGAACTTGTGTGTCCATTCTGAAAACAAAGCTCTTAGCAACACATTAAAAAATGTCCACTCAACCTGACACCCGCAGGGTCACATGACTGGTGGCAGAGCTGTGGCTGAGAGACGGAGCTTTTTTGCTCCAGGTACTTGGTATGGAATTAAGTCAGAATCACTGCCTTAGTTGGGTTAAGTGATCCCATAAGAACACAGAAGCCAGTAGGAGCCACTCCAAGCCACATGGGAGGTGTAGCTGAAAAGTAGACCTGGCTTAATGCAAACAGTGACGTTTCTGTGAGCTCCAAAATATTGATATTATCTTTACGTACACACAAAACCTAATTTTAGCTGCATTCGTCACCTTGTTATCTAACCTTGCTTTATCACTTGAGCAGTGCAGGGCCCAGGCAGGAGCACAAGTCAACAAACAACAGTCTGGGCTTTCGTCCTGGGAGCGTGTGCGCTGCAAGCACCACACAAGCCACCCGGACTCCAGGGCTCTTTGCAAAAAATGAGAGGCTTGATGTGTGACCGCAGAGGTCCTTGACAGCTCTGAAATTCTCCCGTAAGTCCTTTTCTAGTTGGCAGTAGTTTCACCTACTCCCCTGGAGCAGCAATAAAAACAGCATGCCGATTATTGTTACAGTGGCCAGAGTGCTTTGCACCTTTCAGATTGCCTGTGCTCCGAGACAACAAAAGCCACACTGCCTACTTTTCCTCGGTGCCTCCCTGAGACAACGTTTCTCCCGTTGTTTGCTTTTGTTTCTAATTTCTTTTTAATTGGAGTTTGATTGCTTTACCTGTTGTCTTACTTTCTGCTGGGCGACAACGTGAATCAGCCGTGTGTATACATACACCCCCTCCCTCTTGAGCCTCCTCGCACCCCTCTAGGCCATCACAGAGCCCCGAGCTGAGCTCCCTGCTAGCTATGTATTTTGCACACGGCCGTGTGTACGTGTCAGTGCTCCTCTTTGAGTTCATCCACCTTCTCCTTCCCCCGCTGTGTCCGCAAGTCCGTTCCCGGTGTCTGCATCTCTGTTGTGGTTCAGTTACTCAGTCGTGGCTGACTCTTTGCGACCCCATGGCCTGCAGCACGTCAGGCCTTCCTGTCCCTCGCTCTCTATTTCTGACAGCGTGTGTATCTGCTGTCCTGCAAATAGGTTCCTCATACCATTTTTTTAGATTCCATATATATGCGTTAATATACGATATTTGTTTTTCCTCTTTCTGACTTACTCTGTAAGACAGAGTCTAGTTAAATCTACCTCACTGAAAATTCTCCCTTTGTTTTAAAAAGGTTTAGGGAACAAAGTACATCAAAGGATGTCATTAGGCATTAGCCTTGGGGGAAAGGATTCAACCACATTGGTAATAACATACCAGCATTAAATCCAGGAGGCCAGAAGATGACCTGGCCTCTGGGTTCCAGCCTTTAAAGGCTTGTACACTCAGGGCATGCTCCATCTGTTGATGACTGCACTCATGGCAAAACCAGTTTTAAAGGGCAGAGCTTGGCGCAATGCCTGAAAAATTATGAAGTCATGACTCCTTTGGGATCAAGGAGGTAGGACATCCCCAAGCACAAGCCCCCCTCTGGGGGGCTGATAATGGAGCCACAAGCTCTACTCCACTAACTTAATCTGGAAAACAATGCTGGTTTCTTCTGCTCCTCAAAAGCAGAGTTCCTGTGACAGTTTTTTCACAAGCTGGAATGGTGTAACTGGAAGCAGCAATTACCATAGGACATATTTTGCTAATGGAGGCACAGAGTAATTTGAAATAAAGCACAGATGCTCACAGATACAGTACAGAGCTGTGACGGCTTGATGCTGAGAGGCTGAGTGTCATTCCAGGGGAGAGAGAGCAGTGCCCACTCCCACTGCCTCTCTAATGGCTCCCTGCAAAATAAATGCCAAACGCTGTCCTCGCTTTCCACCTTTTTTCATAAAAGCAAAAATTCTCTTTGGATTTATTTTGGTTCATGAAAACACGTACTGATGTTAGTCTTTCATAAAAGTGAAGTGGTATAAAGCGAACTTGCAAAAAAGTGGGGGAGACATGTAGTTAGGTGGTGACTTTGGTCTGGTCCACTGGAAGCAAAGCCTGACATGGGGATTCTTGTCTTTAAGTCAGTATCGAGAGAGTTCCCTGGGGGAAGGGACTCTCCTAGCGGTCCAGTGGTTAAGGCTTCCCTTTCCAGTGCAGGGGGTACAGGTTTGATCCCTGGTTGTAGAGCTAAGGTCCCACATGCCTCTCAGCAAAAAAAAAAAAAAAGACCATAACATAAAACAAGCAATATTGGAACAAATTCAATAAAGACTTTAAAAAAAAAAAAAAGGTCCAGAAAAAAAAGAAAAACCTCTTACAAAAGGAGAGTTCCCATCGGAACAAGCTGTGAAGAAGTGAGGAAACAGGATAAAATGTGTAAAGCGAGGGATATTTGTGATTTTAGCTGCAGGCTGAACTGGAGCTTGAGTGGCAATTGCCAGTCTGGGTCATGTGAAAAGGGGCGGAGAATCAGGCCTTTCACTCGGGCTGGGTGACTGGGGCTTCCCCTGTGGCCCTGTGATAAAGAACACACCTGCTGACGTTGGAAACGCAAGTTTGATCCCTGGATCGGGAAGATCCCCTGGAGGAGGGCATGGCAACCCACTCCAGTGTTCCTGTCTGTAGAATCCCATGGACAGGGGAGCCTGGTGAGCTGTGGTTCATCGCGTCACAAAGAGTTGGACACGACTGAAGATCTCTGGGCTGCCACCCTCTGAGGGGATGCGAGTCAGAGGGCAGGGAAATCTCTCAGGCTTTTCTGCCCCAAAGCAGTTCCCTCCAGCCAAGGCACTTCCCCAGAGAGGGACACACTCCTGAGCCTTTGGCAGGCAACATTCACATAGCCAGGACACTGGGGGCGGTGGGGGAATGGTTTGGGGATGATTCAAGGGCATTACATTTATTGTGCACCTTACTTCTATTGTTTTTTTAGCCTTTATTTTAATTTTTTTTTATCTTTTAAAAAAATATTTATTTTTAATTGGAGGATGATTGCTTTACAGTGTAGTGTTGGCTTCTGCCATTTGTTGTTCAGTCGCTCAGTTGCGTCTGGCTCTTTGCAACCCCATGGACTGCAGCATGCCAGGCTTCCTTCCCTGTCCTTTACCATCTCCCCAGAGTTTGCTCAAACTCATGGCCATGGAGTCGGTGATGCCATCCAACCATCTCCTCTTCTGCTGCCCCCTTCGCCTCCTGTCCTCAATCTTTCCCAGCATCAGGGTCTTTTTTTTCCCTGCTACACAACATGAGTATTTCTACTATTACCGAATCCACGCCACCTCAGACCATCAGGCGTTAGATCCCAGAGGTTGGGGACCCCTGCACTGCAGGGGCTGAAGAGGGGGGCAGTGAGGGGGGCCCAGTAGCGTTTGTGACCAGACCGTTTTGTGACTGTGTTTCAGACTGCGTGTCGGGCCAGTGTCCCTTTGGGGAGGTTCATCTTCAGCCTTCCACGTCGGTGTTGCCCACCCTCAACAGAACCTTCATCTGGGACATCAAGGCAAGCAAGAACGTCAGTCTCGAGCTGCAGTTCTCCCTGTCACGCCTGAGGCAGATCGGGCCGGCGGAGAGCTGCCTGGATGGAGTCACTCACCGCATCAGCGGCCGCGTCGACGCCAGCACGATGGTCAAGATCGGGACATTCTGCGGCAACGGCACTGTGTCCCGGATCAAGATGCAAGAGGGAGTGAACCTGGCCTTGGACCTGCCGTGGTTCCACAACAGAAACGTCTCTGGCTTCAGCATCGCAAACCGCTTGTCGATAAAACGTGAGCTGGCCCACCCCCATCTCCCCCACTAGTGGCTGAGGTTGAAAGCTACAAAATCAGCCTCGCTCTCCATCAGAAATGGTCTGATGGCGGCAGTTTTGTGATTCCCTCTGACCCCTTAAACACATCCCACTCTTTTGTGAGCATGTGGGCCACCTGGAGTGAACACACCCTTCTCTGGTACACAGACCAGGTGATGACTCTTTCCTTTGTCCTCGGTATGTGAGACTTGTGTTCAAGAAATAGAACGGGACTGGCTGCACAGACCTACCGCTCCGTGATTCTGTTTCTCCTGTCTTTGTCCTGTCTTCTGTCTCTTTCCTATTTTTTAGAATCATATCGGTGGTGGTGTGCCAAAGCTGGCTCACAGCAGCTCTGAGTGCAAGTTGCTAAGTGTTCTGGAATTTCATGAGCTGGTAGTAAACAGAACAATTACTAAAACTATATAAACTTATAACTAGGTAAAGTAGGAGCAAAGGTAATAAGAACTTGAAGCTCATCCCTTCTTAGTTAATGTACTGCAGTTTACTCTTCTCTATGCTCCGAGGGGTGGGTATGCTGATTGGATCTGTATGGTAAAAACCCTGTGTTATGGGAGAGGCTGTCCATCACCTCCCACCTCCATGTTCATCCATCTCCTGTTGGCAGTTTGAAAACAGCAATAGTGGGAGTCTTTACACCAAGGAAGTGTGCAGACACTACAGATTAGGGCTTTATTTTTTTCCCCTGCTGGGCTGGTTATTAAACATTTACTCACACATGCTGATGTATCCTCATTCTCACTCTCTTGTTCAGTTGCTTAGTTGTGTCCGACTCTTTGTGACCTCATGGACTGTAGCACGCCAGGCTTCCCTATCCATCACTATCTCCCAGAGTTTGCTCAAACTCATGTCCATCGAGTCGGTGATGCCATCCAACCATCTCATCCTCTGTCATCCCCTTCTCCTCTTGCCCTCAATCTTTCCCAGCATCAGGGTCTTTTCCAATGAAAGGTGACCAAAGTATTGGAGCTTCAGCTTCAGCACCAGTCCTCACAATGAATCTTCAGGTTTGATTTCCTTTAAGACTGACTGGTTTGATCTCCTCTACCTTGAGTATAAACATGCCATATCCAGACCCAGTGCTCAGGGTCTGAGACCTTGCCCTTCACCTCTTCTCTAACCCTGGTCCCTCCAGCCATGAATGACCACAGCAGCGTGCAGTCACCTCCTATTCTCTCGCTTGGGTTCCTCCCCCACAGGCCTGTGCATCATCGAGTCTGTATTCGAGGGTGAGGGCTCGGCCACTCTGATGTCCGCCAACTACCCGGACGGCTTCCCCGAGGACGAGCTCATGACGTGGCAGTTCACCATCCCCGCGCCCCTGCGGGCCAGCGTCTCCTTCCTCCAGTTCAACGTCTCCAACTGCGTGAAGAAGGAGGAGCGGGTGGAGTACTACATCCCGGGCTCCACCACCAACCCCGAGGTGTTCAAGCTGGAGGACCAGCAGCCCGGGAACATGGCCGGGAACTTCAACCTCTCTCTGCAGGGCTGTGACCAAGATGCCCAGAATCCAGGCATCCTCCGGCTGCAGTTTCAAGTTTCCGTCCAACATCCACAGAATGGTAGCAGTAAGTGAGCCCCACTTTCCTTCCCCGCCCCCTCCTCCTTCGTTCCTTCCTGGAATCTCTGCCTGGGGTGAGGTTCCTTCCTACTTCTCGTCTGTAAGTCAGTCACACTTGGACTCGGGATCCTGTAAAACTTTCAGGAAGTGCGTTGCTAAGGCAGTGACACCAGGTCACTGGGTGAACGCGGAGCATGCCTCCATTTCAGCACAACAAGCTGAGACGATCCTGCGTTCAGGGTGCTGAGTTGTTTTTAATGAAGACATTGGAAGGTTACCTTCTAGAGCTCATATCTTGACTGACCCTCCAGTGAATCAGTGCTAGTAACACTTGAAATTGTTTGTGTATTTTTGGCTACGCGGGTCTTCATTGTTGCAAGCGGGCTTTCTCTAAGTTTCAGTGAGTGGGGGCTACCCTCCATTGTGGCGCGCCAGCTTCTCACAGTGAGGGCTTCTCTTGTTGGGGAGCACAGGCTTCAGGGGCATGGGCTTCAGTAGTTGAGCACAAATAGTGGCGTACAAGCTCTTCCCGGAAGAGTGATCAAACCTGTGTCCCTTGCATTGGCAGACTGATTCTTACTTGCTTTACCTGCAGGGAAGTCCCAAGAGTTATCTTCATTTATTGATGACAAACCAGACGGTTCAGAGAGGTTATGACACTAACCCAACATCACACAGCTTGCCAGGAGCAGAGCAGGCTCAGAACCTAAAGCCTGTGCTTCTGGACCACACAGAACCCCAGGTTCAGTGACAGTAAGGTTGTGTATCATTCCACAGACATTTACTGAGATGCCGTGAACCTACAGAAGGGTTGTCAGGGCCGAAACGACAGCAAGGCAATGTGCCCAGGGCACAGCATTGGAGGAGGCCCCAGCTCTGAGGAGCACACTCTCACAGAGCCCATACCCTTTATCGGTATGAGGTCAGCCCCTGACAGCAAGCACCTCCTTAATACTTGCTCCCTGGGTTCCCTTGCCTCATAGGAGGGGAGGAGCGTAGATGTTGAGAAAAAGGTACAGGATGAGTTCAGAGGGGCTCTTCCAGGGGGTTGTCTATGAGCTGGAGTCTGAGTTGTGACAAGTGGCCTTGAACCAGGACCTCTGTGACATGTGCTAAGGATGGATCCTGCTCACAGGCTGCTTCTCATCCTTATTTTTATCAGTATTTGCTTCGGGAAGTAGGCAGAGAAAATGAAGTGGGAGTCTGGACTGGCAGGCCTGGTAAATATCTGCCAAGTGACCACATGGGATCCACTCCCAGATTTGCCCATCTGTCTTGGGAGTGCCCGCTCAGCACCCACTTGGAGCCCGGCTCCTGGAGAAGCTTCAGTTCCATCATATCTTGACCCGAGATTCCTCCTAATTCACAAGAACCGTGTACAAGGCATAATGTTATATATACGTGTGTGTGTGTCCATTGATGACCCCACTGTCACAATGTTAGCAGAATGTTGAAAACAGCTATTGGAGCAATCAGAAATGGACTGGGTTTGAGTTGTAGAAGACAGAGGGATTTGTTTACCATCTCAGTCTTGGTGAAGTGCCGCTGATGAATTCTATTTCCTGTGACATCAGCTGCATTGAAAACTGCATCTGATCAAATTGTTAAGCATGCTGTTACCAGCATCGAGAAAGATACGGCTTTAGTTTTGAGGTAAATAGTGGTTGACTGCACTTTAGATGTGTTTAGCCGCGTCAAGGCTTTACATCAAGCAGGGTTTGCATTCTTCTAGACGACTGAGTGAACCTGGCCGGCAGAAGTATCTTTTTCATTTGATTTGATTATTTTTGGTTGCGCTGGGTCTTCGTTGCTTTGGGCGGGCTTTTCTCTAGTTGCGGCGAGCGGGGGCTACTCTTGGTTGCGGTGTTTGGGCTTCTCGCAGCGGTGGCTTCTCCTGTTTTGGAGCACAGGCTCTGGGGCACGCAGGCTTCAGTAGTTGCGGCTCCTGGGCCCTAGAGCACAGGCTTAGTAGTTGTGGCTCATGGATTTGGTTGCCCCGCGGCATGTGGGATCTTCCCAGACCCGGAATCACACCTGTGTCCCCTCCGTTGGCAGATGAACTCTTACCCACTGTACCATCAGAGATGTCCAGCAGAAGTATCTTTAGAGATAAAATTAGTCGAGGCTGGGTGCCCTGAGAGCTCTGAGTTTCTGGACATCTCCATCTTTGAAACCCAACGTGGACCCTAAATTTCAGGACATTGTGCAAGGCAGCCCGCCCTGCCCACTCACACATTTGTCAGGTTCTATAAATTTGTGTGGACAGCTTGTCTTGCAGGCAGCATAGCCCAGCAGTCAAGGGCACTCACTCTGGAGTTGGCCTCCGGGAAGTTAAAATCCTGGCTCCCCTACTCACTGTGTGAGCCCGGGCAAGTCACTTCACTCCTCTGTGACTCAGTTCATCTTCCAGTGGAGCTAGTAGGCCTGCCTTTGTAGGGGTGCTGTGAGATGCAATGAGGTGGCACAGCTTGGCAGGTCGTAAGCACTGTCTGAATGTTATCCTGCCGGGTGCCAGGTCAGGGAAGGGAGGCAGAGTCGAATGACACAGCACTTGTCCTTAGAGGTTAGCCAGCAATCCAGAAAGCAGACGAGATTTGTAGGGTGCTGGTGGTCCCTTCCCAGAGGAGATTCTTCTATTTTCTTTTCATGTCTTGTTGATTTTATTGTAATAATTGCAGTCTTTGTGCCCTGTTGGTATAATATATGGTCACCATGTGGGTGGCCATTTCTCCACAGGCTCCTCTGGGGCTGCAGTGGATCGCCATAGGGGCCCAGGACCCCCGGTACACTGCATCACTGCGATGGGCGAAGGTCTTCAGGGCTGGGTCTCTTGGTTCTGCTCCAGCCGATTCCGTCTGTTATTTTCATGCCCTCTCAGCGTCAGCTGGTGGTAACAAATGCCGTTGGTCTTGTTTCTCACTTTCTTGCACAGATGATAGACGTTTCAGAGGAAATTTTGGCTGGCATCTCTACCCACTTGGCTGTCTTCCCCACCTTGGCACTGTCTCTGCACTTGTATTGACAGAGGGGTCCTCGTCTCCATCCTTTCCTGAGTGCTGGTGGTCAGCTATTCCCGGCTTGTGGTTGGCTTTTCGGTGCTAGGAGCTGGTTATTCCACACTTGTGGTTGTTCTGCACCCATGGTTGGCCAGTTCATATCTGTGTTAAACTCTTATGGATTGCCAGTAACTTCAGCCATGCTGGAGCCTCCCATTGTGTCTGTGCCGGGGTTCCTGATCTCCCTACATATACCTTCTCCTAGGCAATGAAGAGGGCCTCCCAGGTGGCGCAGTGGTAAAGAATCTGCCTCCCAATGCAGGAGACCCAAGAGACGTGAGTTCGATCCCTGGGTCAGGAGGATCCCCTGGAGCAGGGCATGGCAACCCACTCCAGTGTTCTTGCCTGGAGAATCCCGTGGACAGAGGAGCCTGGCGGGCTACAGTCCATGGGGTCGCAAAAGTCAGACACAACTGAAGTGACTTGGCACACTCACATGCTAATTTAGGAACAGCCAGATGGAAGAGACGCATGAATATGTGGGAAGGAGGGCAGAGCTCCCAGGCCCTCTCCCCAAATCTCCACATGTTCACCTACCCGGGAACCCCCCAGAAGCAGTTTCAGGGGCATGTAATGGGATTTAGAGCAGGGAGTGTGCCTCAGGCTTGGGGGGGATACAAAGAGGAGACTTGTGACAGAGCCTGGCCTTCCTGCCCAGGAGGCCCCAGACAAGATGTACCCCTCGTGGCCACAGGAAAGAAACACAAATGTGCTGTTTATGCTGTTTCTTTTTTTTAATTTACTTTTTTTGGCTGCACCAGGCAGCATGTGGGATCTTAGTTTCCCAACTAGGGATTGAACCTGCACCCTCTGCATTGAAAGCAGAGGGTGTTTACCATCAGACCACCAGGGAAGTCCCTCTGCTCTTTCTCAGTCTTGGAGATGAGAAAGAAGCTTGAGGTTTGGTGGGGCGGACTTCAAGAGCCTTGACCTTGCTTTGTCCCAGCAGAAGTAAGCAAGTGCCCAGACCACCGCACCAGGAGCCCCATGCGAGTGGTTTGCGCTCATCACACACCACGTCCTGATCATCCGTCTGATCATCCATCTGTCCATGCCTGGGTCCTGCTGAACTCCCCATCGGGCATCTTGTCTTATTCCTCCGTCTTCCTACTCTCGGCAGTTTCCAGCACATTCCAGGCCCTCCAAAACCTCTGTTGCACTACTTTCAAGAGGCCGCCTCTTGTCCAAAGTGGTTCAAGACCCAGATGCATGCTCCAAAGGCACCACCCCTCAGAAGGGGCAAGGGTGGCGTCCAGTGGCGGCAGCAGGAGCGTGGCTGCGGGGAAGCCGGAGGAGGGCAAGAGCATAGAAACGGAGCAGAGGCAGAGCTGGGAGACCTTCTCAGGCCACACAGGGCGGCCTGAGGTATAGGGTGGCCGTAGTCACAGCCACCTTGCAAAGGCAGAGCCTTGGCAAGGACAGAGGCAGCTGTCAGAGGCCCCCAGACCCTTACCATCCGTCCATCCAGTAGGACCTGACTACAGTGGGCTCAGACTGCCAAAAAAAACCCCAGCTTATGAGTCTGGACAGTAGGCAGCACTACACTGAACCTGACTGTCCCCTTAAAGCCCTTCTCTCAACTTCTCTACTTTGCTGAAAATATGAACTAGGCTCACACTAGACCCAGACAGCTTCTGCAGAGATTATCTTTCCATGACTTGACCACAAGCATCCTGTGTGTTCAGATGAGTAATGTACAAGCTGCCCCGGACTTGAGGAATGACTGATCTAGCCAGTTGTGGCCAGATGTGTGAGCACAGATAGCCTATATTGCCCAAAACCTGCAGCTTAAGCATGTCTGAGATTGCCAGAGCGCTTGATTCACAGTTATCTCCCCCAAGCACCAGCTCAACGGACGTGAATTTGAACAAACTCTGGGAGATAGTGAAGGACAGGGGAGCCTGGCAGGCTACAGTCCATGGGGTCGCAAGGAGTTGGACACGACTGAGCAACTAACATTTTCTACCTTCTGGAAGATACATTGACTTGCTCTGGAAATACCAACAGACTAAGTGTATCTTCAAGCCCTGTGGGTTTCCAAGTTATCACGATTCAAATAAGGAAAATGGACGTGAGTCTCCAGCATTGTATATCACATACTTCCAGTGACTCACCTGGGTAAACACTGGTTGCGGAAGCAGTTACGCTGCTGCTTTTTCAGCGCTCATAACCACCGGAAGCCACCTGGAGCCCTTAACTAAATGTTGGCTTTGTTTTTATTTTTTGTTGGGTAACTCCTTCTCTAACAATTCAAACATCACAGACAAAGCTAGAATCCCCTGACTGTCTGTATTGTCCCTGCTGCCAGGACCGCCTCCCAGGGTAGCCAGAATTATGTGTGTGCTTAGTCACTCACTCATGTCCAACTCTTTGTGACCCCATGGAGTGTACCTGCCAGACTGCTCTGTCCATGGGATTCTCCAGCAAGACTACTGCTGTGGGCTGCCATGTCCTCCTCCAGGGGATCGTCCCAACCCAGGGATGGAACCCAGGTCTCCCGCATTGCAGGCAGATTCTTCACCATCTGAGACATCAGGGAAGCCCATAACCACACGTATGAATTTGTTATATTTCTCTCCAGATTTTTTTCTTTTCATTTAAAAAGAAATGTATATAAGTATGTATGTGTAGAAACAGCTATTTCATTTTACATAGAGACTTTACAATCAAATAATGTCAGTCTAAATACGGTTCTACATCTTGCTGTTTTCCTCATACTATATCTTTTTAACTGCTATCTGATATCCCACCGATGAGTTTCATGGTCTGTTTAACCATTCCAGTATTATTCCGCTGACTATCACTGGTATACAAATGTAGGCATATATCCCCATGTTACACTGCTGGATTTACAGGGGTGAAAAGTTTTTTTTTTTATACTATACTTTTTTTTTTGGCTGTGCCACACGGTCTTAGCTGCGGTATGTGGGATCTTTGCTGACATGTGCAGAATCTTTCATTACAGCATGTGGGATCTAGTTCCCTGACCAGGGATTGAACCCGGGCCCCCTGCATTAGGAGCCTGGAGTCTTAACCACTGGACCACCAGGAAAGTCCCAGTATATTTTATTTTAATTTGCTTTTCTCTAATTATAGGCAGTATTATAAGTGATACTAAGAACCCTTCACATTTTGGATATTTGGACATTTATATTTCCTGTACTGCGAACTGCTCAATCATTCTGTTACAAATATTTTCTCCTAGTGTGTGCCTTGTCCTTCAAACATTATTTATGGTACCTAAGCCAGATAGACATTTTAATCTTTTTTTTTTTTTTTTGCTTTTATAATTTGTGTTTATTCCACATTTAAAAAGATAATCTCTTTGTTTTTATTTTGGTGACTGCTCTGAGGCACCAGCATAACATTACTCTTACTCATGGGAAACACCATTCTCTTGGCCCAGCCTATGAAGTAGTTCATCTTTTTGTCATTTATTTGAAATGTAGCATTTATTAGAGACTAAATTATATCTGTGATTCTATCCTGTCTATGAATCCTCTCTCCCTGTACTAATACCAACAGTTGTTACTGTTCATAGTAGGAGAATATTTAAATAGGTGATGCTACATCTCACTTGGTTGACTAAGATTTAATGAATATTTTAAAAGATTAATGAGTATGAAAACTGTATCGTAAAGTAGGTATATCTGTACAAAATAATAAAGTAAAAGCTGAGTATAAAATTTTATATACACTGTAATATGCAAGTAGATGAACAAGGACTAAAATGAATTTGAAGAAATGAAGTACATCCATGAGAGCAGTAGAAATGCAGTCCACTCATTTTCTTTTTAAATTTTGTTTCAAGCTGTTATAATGTTATCTTACTAATAAACAAACTTCCCAGCATTCCCCAACCACAAGAGGTTCTGTGCTCATTTTTGCCTTCACACAGGGATGGTCCTGACCATTCTTCACGCCTGTTTTGTACTTGTGGTTCCAGATAAAACCTACGTGGTTGACTTGAGTAAGGAGCGAACCATGTCTCTGTCCATCGAGCCACGGCCCAGCAAACTGAAACGCGAGTTTGTCCCCGGCTGCTTCGTGTGTCTGAACTCTCGGACCTGCAGCACCAACCTCACCCTGACAGCTGGCTCCAAACACAGTATCTCCTTCCTTTGTGATGATCTGACACGCCTGTGGATCAACGCCGAGAAAACCATAAGTACGATCCTGCCCTGTCTCAGTGGGGTCCGCTGGGTGGGGTTGTAAATGATCTGATCACCAGCAGGGCAGGGTGAGCAAGGGCAACCAGGAAGCACAGAGTGAGGTAGACACACACCTCCTTTTAGGACCAGCGGCCTCAGTGTGGACAGGCTTCCTTCAGAAGCAGGTAGCGTCCCCCATGTCCATGCTCACGTCTCCTCTGCCCAGCCTCCAGTCTCCCTCTTTTGAAGTCCTTGTAGCCTTCCCTAACCTTCCCCATCTGCACGCCCCCTGCTTCCACTCTAATGCCCGCTTTTCTTCTCTTGCATAAGAGCAAGTCTTGAGGTCGAAAACTTTGGCTTCCTCCATTTTTTTTAACCCTTTCAGTTACTAGCCGTGCCAGACATGTGCTCATCACGTAAGAAATGTTCCATCAGTGGAGAACAGCAAAACCAAGAGGCACCTCCCTCCTGGACGACCATCATCTCTCACATGGATGCTCTTAGGGTCTGCACCAAGGCAGCAGCTGGGGCCAGGAGAGGTGAAGCAGCTAGCCCGAGGCCACCCCGATAGGAAGCAGCAGAGCTGAAACGCCAGCTGAGATCTCCCCAGCTCCACTCTCTAGAGCTCTAGTCACTGAGCAGAACTGCCTCCCCACTGGCAGGGACGCTAGGCAGCAGGGCTGGGTGGAGGGAAAAATTTATACTCGGCCCACGTGGCACTTAGCATCTAAGATACATGTTGTCTGAGAGATGAGAACTGGAGCAGACAAGAAGAGAAATTTTCAACCTTGACTCCTCCCCAGAAGGTGGTCTGCCAGTTTGGTGCAGAGGAAGAAAGCGAGAGCAGGAGGTGAGCTAGGAAAGGAGCACCAGGGAGGCAGGAATGAAGGAAGAGGAGAGACCAAAGGGAAAAGCGAGAAAGCCTCGGGCGAACTTGAGAGCTGGAGAGGATACGCTTCCGGTCTCCTCGCAGCCGAGTACCACCCGCCCCTCTTTCGCAGGCTGCTTGGACCACCGGTACTGCCACAGGATGCGCCACTCGCTCCAGCTGCCGCAGTCCATCCTCCAGCTGCCGCTGCAGCTGCACGACTTCACCTGGAAGCTGCTGGTGCCCAAGGACAGGCTCAGCCTGGCGCTGGTGCCGGCCCAGAAGCTGCAGCAGCACACGCACGAGAGAGTCTGCAACACCAGCTTCAGCTACCTGGTGGCCAGCGCCGTGCCGGGTCAGGACCTTTACTTCGGCTCCTTCTGCTCCGGAGGGTCCATCGAGCAGATCCAGGTGAAGGAGAACATCTCGGTGACCCTCCGCACCTTTGCCCCCAACTTCCAACAAGAGAGCTCTAAGCAGGACCTGACTGTGTCCTTTATCCCCCACTTCAAAGGTAAGGGCGTCTTTCACTCTCTCCCCATCTCCATGCCCCTTAGCCTTTCTTGTTGGAGAACTCACTTTGCTTTTGTGATCAACTTAATTGTCGATTTGAAGAGAAAGGGGTACCTGAGTGGGCTGTTCCTCTCGCAAGGTGAGGAATCCTAATCCTGACTTTACCATTAGGCTAGTGAGGACAATTCCAGGAGTTAGAAATAAGTCTCTGACATCACTCTCTGACAATAGGAGGTGATAGTTGGTAGGCAGCAGAACAAATAATCAGGTCTCGAGCCTTTTTTGGAAGCAGACAGGGCACAAATGAGAACTAACCATAGTCTCAAGTCGTGGATTCTTGAGGTGGTAACATAAAAATCCTTATGCAGACATTTTTATGATTCTGCTTTGACAGTTCAGAATGTGGTTCAGAGGACATAGAGGAAGGAATATGGGGAGAGAGATGAATCTTTGGAGCATTCTCTTGCATGGGGGAGCAGAGCCCTCCTGGGAGGCCAGTGCATGATCTTCTCAGGCAGTAAATGAAGTTTAAATCAGTCACAATGGGTGAACTCTATATGGCTGATTTTGAAATTCACAGTCTCCGTTACAAAGTTTTCAGCTCAGTTTTATATTGACCAAGAGTTTAATTCAAGGTTTACTCCATAGTTTTGTTCTCAAAGCCATGAGTGGGAGGGAGATGAATCTTTGGCCGGTGAGATTAAGGTCAGTTCAGGCTGCCTGGCATCTTCTAAGGTTTCCAGAGAAACTCCTTCTGGGGAGTCTTTGAAAATAGGACACACTGTCCTCAGTGTGGAGGGTTGGGGTTTTATCTCACCTGAAGGTAAGGAGTGAACTAGAGACCCTTTCAGCTTTGCCATTCTAGAATTCCTCCCAGAACCTGAAGTTTTCTACATCTCCAAAATAGAAATCAGTATATACCAGTCCCACCATGGTGCAGAGCATTAGATGAATGTTAGCTCCGCTGAGGGCATATTTCTTTCTTTCTTTCTATTTTTAACTTTTTTGGCTGTGCCATGTGCCATGTGGCATGTGGGATTTTAGTTCCCCAGCCAGGAATCAAACCTTTGTCCCTTGCATTCCTAGGCGATTCTATTACTCGACCACCAGGGAAATCCTGAGGGCATTTCTGAAAAGAACCTGAGATAACCACCAGTTTGGCAAACTGGCCTGTTTTGTGTTTGGTTGGTTTTGGTTTTTTCAAAAGGCCTGAGAACCTACTTGGAGACTATTCTTTTGCTGACCGATATGGTAGCCACAGATCACATGTGGCAGTTTACATTTAAATTAATAGTAAATGAAATTAAAAATTCAGTTCCTCAATCACACCAAGTACCTTCCAAGTCTTGCAGCAGACACCTGTGGCTGTGACCGCTCTCCTGGCGAGTGCTGATCCAGAGCCTCTCCGTTGTGGCGGGATGCTCTGTGGTCTGGACACTGTAACATCATCTCCTCCACCTTCCTGTTCTCTCCATCTTTTAAAAAAAATAATTTATTTTATCTATTTTTGGTTGCACCGGTCTTCGTTGCTGCCTGCGGGCTTTCTCTAGTTGCGGCGAGCAGGGGCTACTCTTTGTCGCGGTACTTGGACTTCTCATTGTGGTGGCTTCTCTTGTTGCGGAGCACAGGCTTTAGGAGCTCGGGCTTCAGTAGTTGCAGCAAATGAGTTCAGCAGTGTGGAGCTTAGTCACTCTGAGACATGTGAAATCTTCCCAGACCATGGATAGAACCCGTGTCCCCTGCTTTGGCAGGCAGATTCTTATCCACTGTAGCACCAAGGAAGTCCTGTGTTCTCTCCATCGTGATTGAGTGAAACAACATCTGAGTGGATTCTCTTCCTTTTCCTGCAGAAGAAAGTGTCTTCACAGTGACCTCAGACACGAAAAACAAGGTCTACCTGCGGACCCCTAACTGGGACCGGGGCCTGCCGTCCCTCGCCTCGGTGTCCTGGAACATCAGCGTTCCCCGCAACCAGGTGGCTTGCCTGACCTTCCTCAAAGAGCGAACGGGGGTGGTCTGCCAGACCGGGCGTGCATTCATGATCATCCAAGAGCAGCGGGCCCACGCCGAGGAGATCTTCAGCCTGGAGGAGGAGGTGCTGCCCAAGCCAAGCTTCCACTATCACAGCTTCTGGGTCAACATCTCCAACTGCAGCCCCATGAGCGGGAAGCAGCTAGATCTGCTGTTCTGGGTCTCACTTTCCCCGAGGACCACAGGTAAGGTCTTTTGCGGGGGCAGGGGAGGGTGGACAGCAAATTGGTGGCTCAAGAGTCAGGAGCAAGCCTGGAAGGCAAGTCAGAAAGCACGGATTTGAGCCCTGGCTGTCCATCTGTCAGTTAGCTATTGAATCAGTAATGCTGCATAACAAACCACTCCAGAACACAGTGGTTTAAAAACAGCCATTTGTAATGGCTCACATGTTGGCTGGGCATATCTGGTCTCAGCTGGGCTTGTCTGATTCATTCACTTAAGCACCTGTGGGCAGCTGCCGGTGAGCTAGAGAACTTTATCAGTCTTGACCAAACACTCTCACATTCTGGGGCCCAGACAAGATCAGCACGGCCAACTAGGATTCCTGGGCTCTCCTCCACGTGGTTTCTTACCCTCCAACCCGGGCCCCTTCTCATGGCAAAGCCAGAGAGATCCCAGACAGGCTGGGGGAAGTATGCTAGGTTGCCTGATGCTTAGGTTAGAAACTCATACCCCATCCCTGTGACAGCATTGGTTTGGTCAACCCAGATTCAAGGGGTGGACAGGTAGACTCCACCTCTTGGTGGGAGGAGCTGCAGAATCACATAGTAAAGGACATGGTTCGGGGAGGGGGGCAGAAATAGGGCATTTTTTGTAGTCAATCTACTACTAATCTCTTTTTGACATAAAGTCTCTTTTCCCCTCTGACCTTCCTCATCTTCCTTCTGTAGAGAATAGATGACTGTAACTACCCTGTAAAATTTTCACTGGGCCTTCAGAGTTGGTGATTCAAATGTGAGGACCTGGAAAGTGGGACACAGATTTACATGACACTAGCACTTTTTATTTAGTCCAGTGAAACATTAGAATCCTTGAATACCCTCGGTTGTGAGCCTCAGAGCCACGATGAGGATTTTAATGCTTTTATGCCCAGAGTGGCAGCATCCACTGGAGAGTTTCAGGTAATCTGTGCTGGGGCCATGTTTGTGCTTTAGTCCAAGATAGTCACAGAGCATCACAGAGTGTTGGAACCATGGAGATTTGTTCCCTGACCCCTTCCCTTTTTCATGGTCAGATAGATTGTGTATCCGCCCAGGTGGATAGATTGTGACCACCCAGGCCACACAGGTGGTCAGCAGCAAGAGAACTGACAGGGACTGGAAACCACATGTGAAAAGCTCTCCCACACTCTCAGATCAGCTCCTGGGTTTTTTCTTCTCTTCCATTCATTTTCTGTCATTTATTTCTAGTCCTCTTTTTCTCTCAGCCTCACCTTTCGTTTTCTTGTTGAGCAAGCCAGAAAGTCTAAATCCCAGTTTGGTGCAGGGCTCTCTCTCTGACTTCTTTTCTTTTTCCTTTGTACAACTGTAGGAGAAGGACAGCACACACGAAACAACTTTCTCCTAACTCCTTCACCTCTGACTTTTGACTCCCTGCTTTCTTCTACACTCTTCTCTCCTCCAACTTGGGCGGTGCCAATTGGGGGAGCACAGCTGGGATAGGCCAGAAGTAGCCTTTGGAGTAGATCTGGTAGGTCCTGCAGTCCACTGCGTAACTGCCCCAAGATTTAATGGCTTAGATAGTCACCATTTTTTTATGCCCACACTCCATGGGTCAGGAGGACTTCCCAGGTGGCACTACTGGTAAAGAATCCACCTGCCAATGCAGGAGAAGTAAGAGACGCGGGTTCCATCTCTGGGTCTGGAAGATCCCCCAGAGGTGGGCATCGCAACCCACTCCAGTATTCTTGCCTGGGAAATCCCATGGACAGAGGAGCCTGGCGGGCTCCAGTCCATAAGGTCACGAAGAGTCAGACGTGACTGAAGTGGCTCAGCATGCATGCATGCAGGCTTGGGTCAGGAATTCAGACAGGGTATAGCAGGTGGCTCATCTCTGCTCTAAGATACTGGGGTGCCTTCAACAGCTGCAGGGGGTGGGCTGGGATGGTTCACCTTTGCTCACTTTCAAGTCTGGGACCCTTGGGTTGTTTTTTTTTTCCCCTCCTGTAGTCTCAACATGGCCGCTTGAGCTTCCTCACAACATGGTGGTCTCAGCATAGTCAGACTTCTTACATGGTAGCTGGATTTTCCTCAGGAAACACAAGAAGTTTCCACATTTCTAAAAGGTCAGGCACACACCAGCTTTCCTCATATTCAAGAGGAAAGGAAGCAGATTTCCCTGAATGTGAAAGGAGCAGCATGGGCTTGTGGGGAGGGAAGGAATGGATGGTGGCCATCTTTGAAGACTGTCTGCTGAAGTTCATCACCAGGCTAAACTAACCCCACACGTCTCCTCATCTCTCTCCCTTGTGTCTCTGCTCACAGACCTGACTGTCATCGTCCTCGCGGTGGTGGGAGGTGGCGCCTTACTGCTGTTTGCCCTCGGATTCATCATATGCTTCGTGAAAAAGAAGTAGGTGGAATTTCTCAAACTCATCTCCTGAGCTGACACCTCCTTTCATCACACAAACCAGAGCTGTTACTAATTATTGACTTTTTTTCCTTGCTTTCCATTGTCCCCCCCAAAGATCAATCTGAAATGCTATTGCTTGGGGGGGAATTCCCTGGAAGTCCACCAGTTAGGACTCCAAGCTTTCCCTACCTCGGGCACAGGTTTGATCCCTGGTCAGGGAACTAAGATACCACAAGCTGTCTGGCATGGCCAAAAAAAAAAAGGAAAATAAACAATAGTGCCAGATATGAATTATTTGGGGGTGGTGGGGCGCAGAAATCCCCTACCTAGCAGGAAAAAGAAAAGAAAACACACATGTGGTGACATTTTAGCCTGCAGTTTTTAGGCAGCTGCCGCAGCACAAGCTCCCTGTGAATCATGGGGGTGATGTTGGCAGAAAAAGCTCACCTAAGCCCCGCCAGACCAGGCCTGTGAGCCCACTCACCCGTCACCTTGAGGCACACATGCACACTGCCCAGCTTGTTCTCCTCCAGTTTCTTAAACAAACTGTTTCATGCTTGTTTGTTGGCCTCTAGATGAGCACCAGAAAGCCAGCCCTGTGGGTGAGAGGAAGGAAGAACCAGTTAACTGACTCAGTCTCACCTTCCATCCCCTCGGAATGACAGCTTTGTTTTATGAGAGGACAGGGTTGACCTTTTTAGAGGTTGACCTTAGTCCACGCTGCTATCAGATTTCATCAGTTCTGCTCATATTTCTGATTAAAGCCCTGGGTGGCGGGGGGTGCATCTATTTTCCTTAGCAAAAATCTAAAAACAATTTTTTATTCACTGGGGCCACAAGCAAACAGTTGAAATTCCTGATCATCAGTGAGACTGTCTAGAAATGTCTCTGCTGATCAGGATGGGCTGGCACGTCCAGGGGGAGATGTCTCCTTGGTGAAATGGGGTTGCACACATCTTGCAGGAGGGGAAAGGACTTCTTTTAATGACACGTCATTGTGTGGTTTCTCTCCGGAAACTTTCCTGTCTGGGGTGCATGGTATGTTCAGCCTAGATGGGAAAGCATGTCATTAATACTGAAAGCATTCCCTGCTCAGGAGGGAATTGGGTGGGGAGGGGAGGGGTCTGCACTTGCCTCCATCCCTAAAGTGCCCCAGTCCCGGCCTGAGAATCGCCAGCCCCCTCCTTGCTGTGGGGGAGGCTACTGGCTGGCAGACTTACATAAGGCTCCTCCATCCCCAAGTTAGGGTGGGAGGGAACATGAGTTCTGTAAGGGAGAAGACAGGCAGACAGTGCCGTTGAACTTGTTCCTTAAGCATGTATTTCCTGGGACTTCCCTGGTGGTACAGGGCTTAAGAGTCCATGCTCCCAATGCAGTGGCCCTGGGTTCGATCCCTAGTCAGGGACCTAGATCCCACATGCCACAATTAAAGATTCCGTGTGCTGCAATGAAGACCTGGCACAGCCAAGTAAAATTTTTTTTTTAAAGCATGTATTTCCTGAGGGTCTTCTGGGCCTTAGGAACCAAATGAGGTGTTGGGGATACACAGGAGACAGAAGAGCTTAGTGGGGACAAGAATGGCACTGTGGGAGCACATGGGAGGAGCATCATTACAGGACTTCAGACTGGGGCCCTGGCAGCCTGTCATCCTGGCCAGGGAACCTAGCATTACAAGCTACATGTACTGGATTTATTTTTATCTCAGAAAAGTCCGGGTTCATAATTAGTGAACCGCCAGCCAGCGAACTGCGTTATGTGGTCCCTTATGCTGATTGAGCTGATGTCCTCCATTTGAATCTCTGATTGGCTAAAAAGTCAGCCTACCCTGCTTTTCACTGGTGGAGATGGAGAGCGAGGCTTTGTTTTCGAGGCAGGGAGTGCTAATGCCCGTCCACGTCCAAGTGCCAAAGAACGTTACAAACCAAGCATCTCTGGTGTTGGGGAAGGAAGTCGGGCACCCTGGGCTGACTTTTGTCTTATTTCTTGCTCTTTCCTCTGTTGGAGGTTACTGCTGAGAGACTGGCTCCCTCTGCTTCTTCTGAGTCCAAACTGTCCCCAACTCCAACTAAAAACTAAGATGCAGCCTTCCATCCTGAGTCTCGTGTGCTGTCATTTAGAATCGAGATGGACATAGCTTGTAACTGTGCAAAAGTGAGCTGAAGTGTTAGCTTCGGGAAAGAATTCAAAGTCATGGGAGGCTGGCCTAGGCACGCCCATTTCTGCTAGGAAAGGATATTATCAGACCCTCCAACTTTGGACTCCATGCGGGTAATCAAAGCAAATTGAGGCACAGATGGTGTGGACAGTGCCCTCCCCACACCACTCTCTGCTCCTTAGGTTTCCACCTTAAAACCTGGAGACAGAGCTGGTCCCCCTCAGTGTTCTCTGAGGACAGCAGTTTCCGTTTCAAATGCTAAAGCCGCCTGAGGGACTCGGGGAGACCTGGGTACAACAGACCCTGAAGGGTCTATTATACGTTCCAGTAGGGACATACAGTGATGGGCCTCTAAGGTCATATTCTTCCTGACTTCTGTCTCTTTCTCTCCCTCAGTAAGAAAAAGAAGATCACCAAGGGCCCGGCTGTAGGCATCTACAACGGGAACGTCAACACCCAGATGCCGATGCAGCCGAAGAAGTTTCAGAAACGGCGCAAGGACAACGACTCGCATGTGTATGCTGTCATCGATGACACCATGGTATATGGGCATCTGCTGCAGGATGCCAGCGGGTCCTTCCTCCAGGCAGAGGTGGACACCTACCGGCCCTTCCAGGGGCCCATGGGGGACTTCCCTCCCTCCCCACCCCCCACAAACTCCAGGGCCCCGACCGTCAAGCTGGCTACAGATGAGCCGCCCCCTGGCTCCCCTCCTGAGTCTGACAGTGAACCGTACACCTTCTCCCACCCCAAAGACGGGAAGGTCAGCAACGGGAGCACAGACACTCCTTTGCTGGACCCCCACGAGCCCACGGAGCCCGGGGAATAACAGGGACCCACCCAAAGACTTGGCATACAGCAGGGCACTGAGACGCCCTTTAGGGTTCCCACCCAGATATCCTGAAGACAAGGAATTGTGTGGAAGGACAAGAGGAAGTTTTCCTGAATGCCACCATCTTCTGATTTCCACGTGGACTCACTCTGCTGAGACATTGAAAATGATGATTTGTGATCCGGATGCTGTCATCTCCAGGCATGTCCTTCTAAACTCAGGTTGGGTTGTAACCAGCCCATAATGAGAGGGAAGCGGCTGAATCACCCAGGACAGGGCTGCAGCAAGCCCCACATTAGGGTTTAGACCTCTTCAGGTTGACAGTGTCGATCTCTAGGAGCCCACTGAGGTCCCTGCTCTCACTGGGAACCCCTGGATGAAAATGTCAGTGTGCTTTTTAAACTATATTATTTATTGGGTGGTCCCAGGTATTTAAGAAGTCAAATGGATTGCCATGCAGCTCTTCTCACCTGACACAGTGGCAGCTCACACTCACTGGTTAGATGGCTGGGTTTTGACTTCTGCCCACCACTAGATAAACATGTGCCTGTCCTCTGGGAGGTGGGAATAATTTGCAGTCTGTCCAGCTGGAAAACAATGTGTGTGTGTTTGAGGGCAATGACGCACGTCTTTGATGAGAGACTTGCTGGTTGTCTTGTTCTGCGTGTGGTTCTCTTGCTGCAAAAATCTGTCTTGAGTCCCATTGTCCTTGGATCTAGGAATAAGACAAATGTCCTGGAATTACAGTGTGTGGCTCCACCCAGCTGCAGCAACACTTTAACATTTAAACAGAAATATAGAGAGTATTTTCATCCTCTTAGAAACACTGAAAGAGGATTTCGGTGGTGACTCAGTGGTGGGGAGTCTGTCTGCCAGTGTACGAGACACAGGTTCGATCCCTGATCCATGAAGATCCCACATGCCTCGGATCAGCTGAGCCCACGCACCACTATTGAGCCAGCTCTCTAGAGCCTGGGAGACGCAACTACTGCACACTACAGCAACAAGAGAAGCCCGAGCACCGCAACTAGAGAAAAGTCTGCCCAGCAACAAAGACCCAGCACAGCCAAAAAGATACAAGTAAATAAAATTATATACTAGAAAAATAACATTGAAAGGTATAGGAAAGAGTAGCCACTTATATAAGTTCCTAAGGCTACTGCAACAAATTACTGCACGCATGGTGGCTTGAAACAACACAGGTTTCCTGTCTGATGGTTCTGGAGATCAGAAATGCAAAAACGGGTTTCCCTGAGCTAAAATCCACATGTCAGCAGAGCTATGCTCCTTCTGGAGGCTCCAGGGGTGAATCCTTGCCTTTTCCAGCTTATAGAGGCCTCTCAACATTCCTTGCCTCCGATCATGGCATTGTGACACTGCTACTGCTCAGTTGCTCAATCATGTCTGACTCTTCACGACCCAATGGACTAGCACACCAGGCTCCTCTGGCCTCCACTATCTCCCACAGTTTGCATCCCTCTTCTACCAACAAGGACCTTTCACTTACAAACCTCACCCAGGTAATCCAGGGTCATCTCCCCATCACAGGATCTTTAATTATACTGAAGATCCCCTTTGCCCTGTAAGGTAACATATCCACAGGTTCCTGGGATTAGCACATGGACCTTTCTCCTGCCTACCACACTTTACCCGCCCCAGGAGAGACTACAGAATGTTCCAGCCTACAGATGTGTTTTGTTTAGACTACAGCATCTTTTTAAAGAATTACTCACCAACATTTGAAATGATAAAATGTTTACATAACAAATCTGGATCAGAAGATCTGCCCATGCTGGGACTTGCATGCTCATCAAAAAACAGCCAGCTGGTGTTGAAGCAGAGCTCCTCTGTAGAGGGGGCACCCGGTTCACCCATTGACTGCAGGCCACACCTCTCCCTATCGCCTCCCCACACAGAGGCTGAGGGTCTGTTCCGGTGGGTGAGTGCCCTTCAGGGTTGCTTCTCTCGTAATGAAATGGAAAGTTCAGGACCCACACCTCAAGTGACATAAAAAAAACAAGTCTTGAGGTTGATGTGTGCTTCAGGAAAGTTGTTTTTTACACCCAGCCTACATCCTTCATTTATACTAATTACCAACCAAGCTCTTGCAGGCGTTTGCCTTCATGGCCCCTGCTCTCATCCAGGAGGAAAAGGATTGTGTTGTGGCTTGTCAGCACAGTCCTGAGGTCAATATTTCTGTGGCAAAACCTCCTTTAAAAAATAGATGTGGGTTGTCGAATTCAGTGACCTTGGAAATGCACTGCCTGGACTTGTCCCCTTGATACTTTGCCTCCATGAAAAGTTTTGCAATCATCTAAATGCTGTGAGGTCCAAGGTCTCTTGAATTCTTTCCAGAAAGAGGAGTATTATTATTATTATTGTGCCTTTGGTGCTGCCTGTGACACCTTTACTCTGAAAGGCTGGCTCTGCCAGGCTCATTGTCTTGGCCTGAGGTGCTGGCGAAGCCCCTCCAGGAAGGACCAGAGGAGGTCTGTGGCTCCTTTCCTTCCGCTGAAATTGTATCACTATTTAAAATCATCGTTGGAGCCCTGCTTCTCCATTGTCTGCCTTCTCCGACCTCTTGGCCTCTTCTGAGGGTCACTCAGAGCTCTGAATTCCACCCCCAAAATGTGGCAGTCATCACATACATCATCTTTACTTGCAGGGGCCCCACGTGGCCATTTCCTTTTAACCGAGAGCTCAAAACTCTAGGCCACGTTACTATCTTCCGGAGACCTCAAGTTGATCTAAAGTTCTCCAAAAACATGCCTCCTTGAAGGGGTCAGACCCATGTACCCCTGGCTCTTCCCTTTAAAGCTCAGGCCCCATTTCTGTAACGTATTTCAGGGTCACTGAAAACCAAACACATTTGTTGAAGCCTAGCTGGTGCCAGCAGAGTGCCCTCCACGCCGCATCTGCCCTCACGCCCATCCTCTGACGAAGCCTGGCTCAGGCAAGACTGATGAATGCTGCAGCCATTTTGCAAGATTGGGGGTGTCTCAAGGAAGAGCCAAGGGGGAAAAGCAGAAGTCTTATGGGACATAACCTTGGTGAAGGCTAGGACAGATTTGTGTGGATCTGCAATGCTTAACTCAAAATAATTTATTTGTTGTAGATACTTTTTAGGCAGCATTTTGTTCATTTCCTATACTTTTTTAAATAAACAAATACACAGAAAAAAAGAGGTATCAGGTTGTTTAAATGCTTTGGCAGCTTGTCCCCTGGTTCAGCTGAAGCTGTCATTGCCCAGTTGTTGACTCAGACAGGTTCAACAGGAGCTCAACGCATTCCATCTTCTCTATGTGTTTATGTTCCAGCAGGCTAGGCTTTGAGCTGCCAGTGGGTGACTCAGAGGCCAGAGTTTGTTCTGTTCCATTTTTGGTGAGGAAGCCTGAGTCCCCTCTGTGTGACCCTCCTAATACCTGTTCCCTGTTGAGGCCACCTTGGCCACTGACTGCTCAGTGGCTCAGCAGTAAAGAATCCACCTGCTATGCAGGAGCCGCAGGAGACTCGGGTTCCATCCCTGGGTCAGGAAGGCCCGCTGGAGGAGGAAATGGCAACCCACTCCAGTATTCTTGCCTGGAAAATCCCATGGACAGAGGAGCCTGGCGGGCTACAGTCCATGGGGTCACAAAGAGTCAGACGCGCCTGAGCACGCATGAAAACGTATGCACACTGCTCTAAGCCCAGTGCAGGTCACCAGCCAACAAAACAGAAGCAAAGGAGAGTGGTGGTAGAGGTAACTTACCTCCACTGGGCCCCCGCGCTCTTCGACAGGAGACCCAAGTGCACGAGGGAGATGGAGTACTGCTGTGTAACAAACCACTCCAGACCTTAATGACATAAGAACAATCATGTATTCTGCCACAATCCTAAGTTGAGCAGGACTCAGCAGGGATGGCTTCTCTGTGCTTGTGTGGCCTCTGTGGGGTGACTCAACTAGAATCCACTTTCAAGACGGTGCATCACACAGCCGACAAGTTAGTGCTGGCTACCAGCTAGGAGCTTTGATTCCTCATCACACGGACTGCTCACTCCACAGGGCTTTCTGGACTTCACAATCTAGAGGCTGAATTCCCAGGGCAAGTGCCCCCAGAATCAGGTCAGTGTCTCAAGTCCTGGGCCTGGAACCTGGCCCAGTGTCACATCCATTCTAGCCTATGGGTACGTCAGTCTCAGAACCTCAGATTTAAGAGGATGCAAACACAGCATCACAAAAGAACATTAAATTTGTAGAGAAGTGACAAGACAAAGGAGAAGTACTCTAAGCTTCCAGGAGTGGCAAACTGTGGAAAGGTAAGAATATGGGGGGAACAAATGGAAAATACAGGTTTTAGCAAAGTGTGTTGTGTTGATGTCTTTGGTGTTGTCTCTGGGCTAAGAGTCTAGAGTTGTCTCTGGTGATTAAGAATCGTCCTGTCCTTCCTGGTAGAGAGGGGGAGGACAGAGAGCTTTTCTTGTGTCTGATCCTTCTTAATTGCCTTCAATTCAAAATAATCCTCATGCCAGGCTGGCATATTTTGGGGTGGAATGCTCTGAATCCTTCAGTTTCCCATTTGAAACTTAAGTTTTGTTTATTAAAAGTTGAGTGGGCAGCTGTGCAAAGATTGGAGTAAGAAGTAGCGAAATAAGAGATCTGCAGAGGCAGAGAAAAGCCTAAATGGAAGAAGGGGAAGAGAACAAACCTAAGTCTATTGCCCCATGTCTTAATGAATCAGTCTCTCAGACCCTGGAAGGAGTCACTCGGTCAAACAGTTGTGTTTCGTTTTAGGAAATTGTGCTGCAGGTGGAAGCAGGGAGCCTGCTTAAGTTCAGCCTTTACATGGTGTCAGCAGCCAGGTACCTAATAGGGACATTCCTATGGAAAATGAAGGGGAAACAAACTGTAACCTCAGTTTTTGAGTCCAGAGGGTCGTCAGTGAGAAGACTTCTGGATGTTGGGCTCGGAGCATTTTTAAATGGTGGACTGAGAATAGCAATGCCAAGCCAACAAATTTCCTAGTTTGCAATTCTGGTGTCTGATGCGAGCCTCTGCGTCAGCATCACTATCACCAGTATTTCTCAGTGCAGCCCATGGAGGTGTCCAGCTGCACCTTGCAGGGCTTCTCCTCCTGTCGCTCCTACTCTGTCTCTCTCTTTTTTAAGGTAGTCTCAAGGATCTAGGCAGTCGGGTAGTTCCCAATGGCACCAAGCTGGGAGGGAGAGAGAAAAAATGGAAATGTTAATTGCTAAAATGCTCGCATGTCAGAAGCCAGTTTACCAAGAGGTCAAAAGGTTCAGAGGCAGTGAGTGTGTCTGGAGTTCCACAACCCACCAACAATATGCTAGAGTTTTTTTATTGTTGTTGAAACACAGAATTTCTCTCTATAAGTACCCCCATTTCTATCAAAGATAATCAAAGAAGACTTTTGTTTGCAAAGTAAGCGTAGTCTCATGCAGTTTGGCCTAATTATTTACATAAGCGCAGCAAGAGTAGTACCATGTCTCCCCAGACTGCAGAGACCTCAGAATTGGCTAAGAGGCCACCAGGAAACGTGAGCTGTGTGACTGAGACAGGCAGCCTAACTTCTCTGAGCCAAAATTTCCGCAACTGTAAAATGTAAATCCTAATACCTACTAATTAACAAGGTGACGGCCAGGGTGGGGAAAAGATGCTGTATGTGACAGTGTCTGGATTTAGTAGTCATTCTTTGTTAAATCTTCATTGAAGAGAGAAAAAAATACATAGCCTATAGTCTGCTCAATTTGGTGTGGTCTCATCTTCAGCAAGCTGGCTGTCTTTTCCTGTGAACTGACAGTTCTCTAGCTAATTGTGTCAAATTCGAAGACGCTGTACTCTGCGTCCTCTCCACACTCATTTTAGCTGTCAGCTTCAGCAAGCTGACATATGATCCTCAGCATTCGTGCAGCCCTAGAAAGAGATGTTCCTGGGAGAAGCATCACAGCATGAGCCGTGCGGGCTCCACAGCCAAGGAACCCAGAACGGTGGGCTTTCATTTTCTAACACGATTGCAGTGTGATAAGATATTTGGCTGCCCATGTCAGAGGCAGCACCGGCTGTTTGGGCTTGCCTGACCAGGCACCCAGACCAGAGAAGGACCTCGACAAACACATATGAGGTGTGCAGCATTGTGGCTTGAAGTTACCATAGCAACTGTCCTGTCTTTTTCTCCCTGCTCCACTCCTACCCCATCACAGGACACCTTTCCTCAGTGACAAACAGGGCAAAGAGTTGTCGTTGTTTAGTCAGTCGCTAAATCATGTCTGACTCTTTGCCACCCCATGGACTGAAGCACACAGGCCTTCCCTGTCCTTCACCGTCTCCTGGAGTTTGCTCAAATTCATGTCCATTGAGTCAGTGATGCTATCTAGCCATCTCATCCTCTGCCCTTCTCCTCCTGCCCTCAATCTTTTCCAGAATCAGGGTCTTTTTCAATGAGTCAGCTCTTTGCATCAAGTGGCCAAAGTATTGGAGTTTCAGCTTTAGCATCAGTCCTTCCAGTAAATATTCAGCGTTGATTTCCTTTAGGATTGACTGGTTTGATCTCCTTGAAGTCCAAGGGACTCTCAAGAGTCTTCAGCACCACAGTTCAAAGGCATCAATTCTTTGGTGCTCAGCCTTCTTTGTGGTCCAACTCTCACATCTGTACATGACTACTGGAAAAAGCATAGCTTTGACTAGACGGACCTTTCTTAGCAAAGTGATATCTCTGCTTTTTAATACACTGCCTGCTTTTGGCAGAGAGTATCCCTCCTTTAAGCTGGTCAGAAACTCATCACTTCTCTAATGTAGAACCAAGTCAATGCCTCTAAATTGCCTCTAAGCATCTGAAAAGTTTCAAAAAGAAGTATGAAAAAAAATCTTATTAAACAGGAACTGTAGACAGTGTTTGCCTTCATAGAAGGAAATGGTGACTGGGAAATTTTCCCCCATATACCATTCTGTAGATTTTGAATTGGAACCGTACGAATGGATCTTATTTTACAGTGAATGAAAATGAAAACAAAAACTTCTTTTTAAAACTTGTCAAAACTCAAGATTCCTGGGACTTCCCTGGCAGTTTAGTGGTTAAGACTGTGCTCCCAATGCAGGGGACATGGGTTTGATCCCTGGTCAGGAAACTAAGCTCCTGCCCGCAGCAGGGCCAAAAAGAATAAATTAAAAATAATAATAATAGTAACAAAAGAGTACCCTTAAGATTCTTTGGTGGTTCAGTCTTGCCGGCCTCCTGTGAGTGCAGTTTTTCAGAGACTTTTAAGCCTCCTTTCTCCCCTCTCCAACACCCCCACCCACCGCCCCGCCTCCCAGTGGTGGGACCAGTTTGGCCAGATTTCACCCTTTCTGGCCAGAAATCCCAGGTTACTCCCAGAGAGGCTAAAGACTGGAAAAGACTGGAAGGTGTGGTAGCTGCTCAAACACCCTGGAAGTCTCTTCCACACCACCTCAGGGACCATTCCTCAGTGCTGATACTCCCAGGCCAACAAGTTCTCTGGGAGCTGACACCAATCCTGGGACAGACGGTGTTGCACTCCCCTCCCCCATCGGAAAGAGGAGTCCTGGAACCAGCTGGTGACCTGACGGCAGCCCCATCGTTGCCCAGGATGTTCAGATCTGACCCATCCAGGATGCAGGCTGGAGGGACTAGAATCCGCTCAAATCCTAAGCCTAGGAAGTAGGGTTGGGAGGGTATCGGCTGCCCCTTGGAGTTCAGAGAGAGGAAATCATTTTGTGATGCTTAGTCATTTGGAAGGAAAAAAAATATATATATATATATATATATTTTTGCCAAAATAAACGTGTTGAAGAGTGAAAGAGCCACTCTCCCGCAGGCTTGGGTTCAGTGTCTACTTTGAACCCTGGGCTGGCACCCTGGGTCTCAGAGCAGCAGGCGGGTCCAAGTCCCTTGTAGGTCCCTTTCTTTCCTGGAGTCATTAATTGCTTGGCTGCCTGCCACTGGCAGCGTCACCAGAGCTCTTGGCAGGCTGAACACTAATCCCACCTTCCACCTGGGAGACTGGGAGGGAACCTGCTCTCCAACCTCCTCCCAAGACGGCAGCCCCCCACTCACCCCCTTGATGGCTGCAGCCGCTACCCAGGAGGCCCTTGCTGGTATCCTGAGACCCAGTGAGCCAGCTGAAAGTGAAAAAGTGAAAGCGTTAGTTGCTCAGTCCTGTCCAACTCTTTGGGATCCCATGGACTGTAGCCCTCCAGGCTCCTTTGTCCATGGAATTCTCCAGGCAAGAATAGTGGCATGGGTAACCATTCCCTTCTCCAGGGGATCCTCCCGGCCAACGGATCGAACCCCTATCTCCTGTGTCTCCTGCATTGCAGGTGGATTCTTTACTGTCTGGGCCGCCAGGGAAGCCAGCTGAGGGAAGGATAATTGGGAAATGTGAACTTCAGAGGTGATCCTTTCCAATCAGGAGTTAAATCGCCCTCACTTACTCTCGAAAAGCAACCTGGTGATATTTCTGCAAATAACAGTCTTTTTGAGAAACACTGGAAACATAGGTACTTCCAATAATGAAGATAAAAGTCCCTTATACCTTTTAAAAAATGTCTAGTGTCAAATCAGTCCAGTATATCCAGGATAAAGCTGTATTTTCAATTATATTTTTCTTAAACAACATGGGTAACAAGCTCCTTTTGCGATAATGAAGTCTTTGTCTTTGGTGTTAAAAAA